GGACATGGTCACTTACCTGATTGGACAGGTCGAAAGGTGAGGTGGGGCTTGAACGGTGGTCTGAGGAGGAGGGTCTTCTCGGCAGCAGTTGGAGATTGTCTGAGGTAGAGTGAACTTCCCTCCCGCCCGCCTAAGGACTTTTGGCTAGTCTGGGTAGTTATGCGGTTGGGGTCTTTGGAGGCCATCAAATAATAGGTGCTGGTGGTGAAGGTTTGGGGACCTGTCCTGGTATGGGTCCTCTATGCATCTATTGATATTTGGAGTGTATGCGGTCAGTTAGTGGTTGTCCCCGAGGCGGTGTGTTGCAGCTGGGGGCCTAACAGGTTGTAGTACTGCCGCAAGTAACGGATCAAAGGTGTGGCCTTCAAAGACCTGCAACTTTGTTCTGGTAATTCTGATAATTGTTTATATAGTATGTTTTATATATCAAAGTTGTTAATAAACGGCTGCCAAGGCCATTTTATACCAATCTGGAGTGTGGTCTAGTTATTACTTACAAGGACGGGTGGTGGGTGGCCTTGGGGGCTTGTAGTGAAAAAGAATGGGGACATCTATGCTACCTAAGTCATGTAATTTCATTGTAACTTTGATATAGGAACAGTCACTGTGACACTGCAAAACACCCTGTCCCCTCTGGATGTCACAGGTGTCATTGCTACATTGTTTGAGACTGGCTGCTGCTGGGATCTGACAAGCTGCACTGTGTATGGGCCAGACAACAAGAGTTAATGTCACGATACTGTAAACAATTTAAACACTTGCTGACAGTCACCTAATATTTAACATGCTAAAATCCATGGGCTGCGAATGGGGCGGTTGCCAACAAGCAGTTAAAAACGCTCGATAGCAGGTCACAGGCAAACTTGGAGGAGTGGTTAGAATTGCAATACCATGCAAGCCCCATAAGTAGCAAAGAAGTCTGTGCAAGTTAGGAATCGAACGGGGACAATGGCGTTCAAATCAAACTCCTACGTTGTACTGAACGATGGGCACAAGATGCCAGTGATCGGGTTCGGTACCTACGCCCCTGAACAGGTAAGGTGCTGCCATTTTTGGGTTACATGTTCGAATAAACTTATTTTCTATTGAGAGATTTCTTTCTTTTCATCAAAGCAAATGTATTAAAAATAAAACCTAACAGTAAGAGACTTTTGGCAGACTCCAGATACATATTTATTCCATGGAGATGTACAGTCTGAGTACAAAATAATTTCAAAGGTTGGGTTTTAGTGATAGTACATTTGCATGGCAGTTATTATAGATAATATGCAGGAGCCTAAGAAATGGAACTGAAAGGTGTAGCTAGACATTGGTAGGAGCCTCACATACAGCACACTGCAATCAAAGTGCTACTAATGGGATGCCACTAATGGAATAGTTACATTTCTCAAAGAGATGTCATTGCCATAGTAGCCTGGCTTTAATGTTTTTGCAAATTATTGTGCTCATGTTCTACTACAAATATCAAAAATTTAATCCAAGGGGTGATATGTGAAAATCGCACTTTACCCATGAAGGCTCGTTCACACTATAATACATGTTTTCAAAATGAATGGGCTTTCAATGCATGACAAACAGGTCCTAGACTATTTTTTGTAACACACAGAGCATTCCAAATTGTGCGTTGAGGTGCAGTGTAGCAATGTGCATTGAAGTGCACTGTACATGAGCACTTAGGTTGCAATTAGAAATGCATTGCAATATACCACATGCATTGCATTACCGTGTATTGTGCGAAAAGCGTTATTACATATTTGTTCTAGGGTTTAGATACACTAAAAAATTACAAAATATTAGCAAAGAGATCCTAAATGTTCTACCTAACCCCTCCATGGCTGCATTACAAAGATTCTAACTTTGTAACTAACTTTGCATTAAGTATGGGGTCACAGTGTTATGTTGCAGTAATGCATGTGTAGCTGCATGCATTACTGCATTGTGCAAAAAACATGCGTTATGTGCATTGGTGCACTGCATTGTTATTCATTCTTAATTGCATCTCCACTCACTTTACCAGCACACTGCGGTCCATCATGCAGGGAGACAAAATACCATGTGTTGTAGTCTGCTACTATCTTCCATAGCCCAATATCACCACTTCTTCACAGCAACACTAGAGAGAATGTCAGGTGCACGCCGGCCGAGCATGTGTTGCTTCAGCATCAACACACAGAGACACTGACACAGAGACACTGAGCCCATGAGACTCACATAGACACTGAGCCCATGAAATCACTAAGCCCATTATTGGGTGAAGCATGTCAGAGTGAAGAGGATCCACAGTGGGATAATGTGTGCCTGTGTGTTATAATACATTTTTCAGCAAAGTGTGCGGCAGGACTTTTAATTCTGTGAGTAACTTGTAGTGTGCTATGTTACAAAAAAAAGTGCATGCAACTTTGTTGTTGCATTTTGGTGAGTTCAGCGTGCAGAATAGCACAAATGTGCTAACACATCACGAAAATGTGAATCCAGCCTAACTGAGATGTTAGATGTTTTCTATGTATAGTCTTGACAAAAGCGGAATGTGTCCCACCCTGTTGGTTAACTAGGATAAAGTGTAGTGGGTGGAGCTGGTTGAGGAACTGACTGATCCAGCAAGATCTGCCTATATCATGACTTACTAGTGTCAGCCAGCCAACAAGCACACTGGAGGGGAGACATTGGGGTGGGTGATGATTTGTCTGCCATGCTGTGAAATTTTTTTTATCCCTCAATTTTTTTTTCTAATATGGCCATTTGTGCTCCTCCAATTTCAGTCACCTTTTTATTTTTATACTTTGCTATGTTTTTTAAAGGATAAGTTCACCTTTTGCAAAAATTAAAGAAATGCATAATTAACCAGTTGACATCCGCGGTGTTAAACCCCCTTCCCATCCAGGCCATTTTTCAGTATTCAGCGCTGCGGTACTTTGACTGAAATTTATTCCGTCATGCAACGCTGTACTGAAATGAATTTTATATCCTTTTTTTGGGGACAGATATAGCTTTCTTTTGGTGGTATTTATTCACCACTGGGGTTTTAATTTTTTTTACTATATTAAGGAAAAATTACCGAAATTTTTTAAAAAAACCAGTTTCCCCTATATTAAATGATAAAACATTTATTACCCAATTTTTTGGTAAAATATAAAGGACGGGGTCACGTCGGGTAAAAAGACACCAAACATGTCAAGCCTTAAAATTGCGTGCGAGCGCGAAACCTCAAAAAACGATAATACCCAAAATTGGCCATAGGCGACGCTTTAAAAGCTGTTACCGCTCATCAGTTTAGTGTTATCAGTGATTGATGGCCCTAAAAT